ATATTACTCTCGAAAGTAATATAAATATCACATTTCAACTGCCATAATGTAATTATTAATTAATTTATTTCTTACAAGAAATATTGGCCACGCATTCTACTCTTTTAATATCCATACGCATCTAATAGTAATTTCTTTACCTAGAGTATTTTAGTACATACATTATGTATATAAAGTATATAAAATGAAAATATCTGTCGCTATATATGGTATAGCATAGACAAAAATCTGCAACAGTTTTAAAAATATCGAAATCTAGGCAACAAAGATATGATTATTTTCTAAATGAATTTTTCTGAATTTTAGAAAAATTATTAAAGAATTGACACTTGATAATCGAAATATGGAATATGTATGTATTATACATTGAAACTCCACGATTATTCTCATCCATGCAACAAAATCTAGGCACATTATTCTCTATTTCCTCCAAATTTAACCAGCTAAAGTTTAAAAAAAAAGAAAAGACAAAAAAACCAATACTAAAGAAGATAAAGAAGGAAGAAAGATCAACAACGTCGTGTTAGTTATTTCTATCTGAACGTCGTTAAAAGTGTCTCTGTCAATTCGAAGGATGATTGAACAAAGTGTCGACGGTTGCGTGTATAGTCTTCTTTCTTCGTATACAGGGTGATTCATAACTGGTGATACAATCGAGTGATAACATAGGATCAGCGAGGAAAAAATAAGTCGAAAAAAGAAAGGAATGAAATTTGTCTCGTCCGGCGTTTCATTTTCGAGAAAATCAACTGTAAATCTTTTCTTTTTATCCAGCGCTGTACATTTAAGCAAATCGTCATGTCAGAAATTTTTTTTAATTTGGTTTAGTTGTGGTGGTGCATGCAATACTAGCTTGGCCACCAAGGTCTAAATTTTTTAGGTAAATCTTCTATTCATAGAGTCATGTCAAATCAATTATATACCAAGATGAAGTTACATTGACCAATTATAAAGAAAAGCAGAAATAAAATAGCGGAACACGTCACGTGGCGTTTAATGAAAAGAGCTGAAATCTGGACGTTGAACATTACGGAAAATTTTTGACACAAACTGACAGCTAATGTTTACCAGAGATGAGATTGATGAATCAAGCTTCGTAATTATAATTATAATTATAAATATTAAATTTGTAGCGGTGGGTAAAATTCTAGAGTTGATCTACCCGAGAAGAGTTTCATCCTTTCTCTTTTCCCCTTACGTGCGATGCAGTCAATTTCTGTCGTTTTTCGAGTCAGCCAATATCCGATGCGTGGCAGCAGTTACGAACCACCCTGTACACTCGACAACGGAGCCTCTTATTTCGTGACATTTGGATAACTTAAGGTTGCCTCTCGCGGAGCTCCTCCTGCGCTTTCGACCCTCGTCCGCTAATAGCAACAAGTTACTTCTGACCCGTCAGCGGGACAGACCCTTGCGACGCCTCTATATTTAGTCGACGGGTCGAACCACTAGTACAGAACCGGCGAGAAAACACAAAAGAAAGCTGGCGAGGCGAGGCGAGGCGAGCGAGCGAGCGAGCGCCGCGGTGAAACGCCGGCGAAACGAGTGCAAAGGGGACATCGCGATATCTCGCCGCGAAGATTCTGCAGCTTCTGGCTCGCAGCTGCAGCTCCGCCACCGTGTGTTCCAATAAAAACGATAAATACGAACGTGTACGTGGCACGTACATAGCCAAGGCAAGCTTGAAAGGGCGAACCTCGCCCTGCTGACACGGTCAGTCTCCGAGCGTGTCCGCCACATTTGGATAAATTCCCTCGAATTTCATGCGGCGCTCGCATATTATAAGCTGCGTATTCTAATTTTGATAGCGCGTCTGTGTATAAATGCACTGGCCGACGCAAAGATCCATATCTCAAGTATGTGTATTTAAATTTGAGATACGTACGAGATTTATACGTACATACAGGGTGTCTGCGTAATTCTGTTGCAGAGTGATGTCGTTGTCGCTAGTAATGACACGAGTATACTATCAAAGGTGTTATATAATTATTGTATTACATTATATTTATCGTATTGTCATACTGTATTATTATTATATTAATTGTATTATATTATATTATACACAGCAGTATAGTATAGTATAGTATATTATTGTATATAATAATATAATAGTATAATAGTATAGTATATTATTGCATTATATTATATTATTATTATATTAATTGTATTATATTATATTATATACAGTAGTATAGTATAATATAGTATATGATTGTATATAATAATATAATAGTATAATAGTATAGCATACTTATTACAGTATAGTATATTATTGTATTATATTATATTATTATTATATTAATTGTATTATATTATATTATACACAGTAGTATAGTATAGTATATTATTGTATATAATAATATAATAGTATAATAGTATAGCATACTTATTATAGTATAGTATATTATTGTATTATATTATATTATTATTATATTAATTGTACTATATTATATTATACACAGTAGTATAGTATAGTATATTATTGTATATAATAA